TTGGTAATAAATAAAAATATTTACAACTGTTGGTATAAGCCTAAAGTTTTCGAAAAAAGTTTAACGAAGACTCATTCCAAGTTTATTTACAACAGTACCGTTATACCAGTGCTATTAATATCGATACCTTTTTGCCATAACATCGTAAGTGACAAATTTAGGGAAAACAGTTTTATTGAAGCATCGTATCTATCAAGCCGCCAGGCACCTCCCAGCAAAATTATTGTAAGGTATAATAGCATAGTCTTGGAGAAAAAACCGAATTTGCTGTAACGTAAGTCACATAAAAATGTGAAAAAATTTATTTTGTAGTTGTGAAAACATCGCATGGTCACCAAAACATCGTAAGGTGCAAGTCACGTGGTACAAAATTTGCTACTTACGATGCAGCGAAGTTCATTACGATCTATTAGTGAACTGTGTGTAGCCGCAGAGTCGGAACGTAAGTACCACAAAATAATTTTTTTGGTAATTATTTATGGTTTTTACTTTTGCTTTCGTTGAGATTTGTAGGAAACATTGTAAAAAATGTAGTTTAAAATCAAAATTTCCTTAACATACGTAGTTTTTTCAAATTATAGAGATTTCTTAGTAATAATTGTATTGGTGTGATAGGTAATGGTTGTTCTAGATTTATTTCGTCTCAAGAGAATCATAATCCTATCTTTTTGTATTATTTTGTAGTGAGTATTATAAGGTACTACAAGTTCCATATTTTATGTACAAGGTGTCTTACCTGGGTTGACACATTTTTGGTCAATATAGGATGTTTCATCTCACGCGTAATATTGCGTAAGGTTGAATAATACAAGATTTACTCCGTACTGATCGTACATGATGCAATGTTGCGTAATATTACGCAACATTGAGTAAGATTGAATACTACAAGATAAATCCCGTACCGATCGAGCTATCGGACGGCCACAACGTTAATAACACCTGGCGAAAATAAAATAAAAGACAAGAAGAATGGAGGCCACATATGGCGCACTTATAATTCAAAATAATATAACTTTTATAAGTAATATTTTAAAGTCGACAAATAAGATAAAATATTCTTTTATTTCAGATTATCGCCATGAGTAGTAGATCAAGACATCTAGTAAGATTAGCTCTTAGTTCTCAAGGAACAGAAGAATCAAATGCCATACCGTCTTTGGTAACCACTCGGTCTGAGTCTTCACATGAGTTGGAGTCACTCTCACTATATGTGGGAGACTCTAACTTTGACAGCGAATTATCTTCAGTTTCGTATGATGTAAAAGACTCAGCATCTTTGTATGAATCAAGCGAATTCGAAGAGATTCCACTGGTATCACAGAAGTCCTTAGACACCATTATAGACTCAACCACATGCTCTAGCACCAGTGTTGCTTCACAAGTTGGTCAAATCTCGAACTTGAAAGATTTACAATCTTCAGACGTGGTCGTAATTAGTTTAGACGAACCTATAATTTACCATATCACTGCCGACGGAACAGAAATAAAATCCAAATGTAATGTGCCAAGTTCTTCAGTTGATGATGACCTTCACCAGAACCAGCCAGTAGTTTCAACACGACCCTCTGTGAAACTCGTTGACTATGACTCTTCCAGTAGCGAAAATGATCAAAATAGTCGTACCTGTAATACAGCTAAACGTTTTCGTCGCCACTCTTCAGAATATTCCTTTGAAGAAAATATTAGCAATGGTGACAGCAACTCGCCTGACAATAAAGAAGATGCAATGGGAAAAACTTGTTTTAGGAAACAGAAAAAACCGTGCAAAAAGACAATAAGGAAAAGTAATCACAAGTTCGGTGCCAAAAAGTCTGTTAGAGAGAATCCTTGCAGTATTAATTGCCCAAACCAGTGTATTTCAAAATTTCCAGAGATAGTGAGAGAACATGTTTTCGAATTTTATTGGGGCTTGGGAAGCCTACACAGGCAACGAGACTGGCTGCTTTCATGCATAAAAGATGTTGAAATAAAACGTCGAAAACAAGAGGCTGCAAGAAGCAGAAGACAATGTTCGTACAAGTATATCATTAGGTGGAATGATGTGGAACACGAGGTGTGCCAACAATTTTTATTGAAAACCTTGGATATTTCACAAATGACTTTGAGATATACGAAAGAAAACTCTACGTCAGCCTCATTTTCCAAAATAGATCAGAGAGGTAAGCATGTTCCCCATAACAAAACTGGGAAAGAGCAGAAGCAGAATGTTTTAGATTTTATCACGTTGCTACCCGCTGTCCCATCTCATTATTGCAGAAATAAAACATCGAGAAGATACTTACCCACTGAATTTCGTAATGTATCATTCTTATACGAACTTTTTAAGAAGAAACAGATAGAAAATGGCATAACTAAGAACGATATCGTTTCCCTGCAAGTGTTCCGAAAGATTTTTAAGGCAGAATTTAATATCGGATTTCACTTGCCGAAAAAAGATAAGTGCAAAGTCTGTGAAGTGAGAAAAGACAAAGATTTTGAGGAAACAGAAGAAACAAAGCAATTGTATGAAAAACATTTGGAAAACAAAGAAAAATGCAAAGATTCATTTCTAGCTGATCAAAAGAAAACTATCTTAGATTCAAAATTTTTATGTGCTAGTTTCGACCTGCAGAAGGTGTTAAACACACCACATGGAGACAATTTGCTCTTGTACTACACCAGAAAGTATGCTTATTACAATCTTACGGTTTACGAAAGTGGAACCCAAAATGGGTTTTGTTATTTGTGGGGAGAATGTGACGGAGGACGTGGCAGTAACGAAATATCTACCATAATCTACAAATATTTGCAAGAAGTTGATAGAAGACAAACCGTAAAACATATATCACTAAATTGTGATAGTTGTTATGGACAGAACAAAAACAAGGCAATGTTTGTAATGATCTCGAGTTTTCTTAAGGATTCTGTTAATATAACATCAATCAGTGTGCGATACTTACTACCAGGCCATACTTATATGCCTGTCGACTCAGTTCATGCAACAATTGAGCGGTTTATCAAAAAACGCGTAGTATGGGCTCCATCAGAATGGTGTACATTGATATCCAACTCTCGTACCAAACCTAAACCATTTGAAACAATAAAAATGGATTTCAGCGACTTCTTAGAATGGAAAAAAATATCTGATGATGTACTAAAACCGAGTAAATTCAAATGTAAGAACGGAAAACCTATAAAAATCAGTGAAATTAAAAATGTAAAATTTGAGAAAGGTAACGCAGATATTATTATAGAGGTTGACTATTTAAATAATGGCCAGAACTGCATCAATTTCACGATGGAATTAAAAGGAAAAAAACCAAAACGGCTTTATTCTCAAAAATTGTCTATTTCCGTTGCAAAGAAAAAAGACTTAATTGATCTCTGCGACAACAATATAATTCCTCTCAGGTTTCAAAATGAATATAGGCTAATGAAAACGTCAGCTATGCCAGATAAGCTAGCAGAATCCGATGAGGAAGACGAAAGCGATGAAGGGCCCCAAGATTAGACTTTTGCTGACTAGCTATGATTCACATTTATTATACCACATGCAATAACATTAGATATTATGACTATTTTTGTAAGTTTATGACTAAAGCGATTTGTTGTTCAGTTAAATGCCTATTGTACTTTTTACTTTTCACAAATAAATTACCTTAAATAAACGATTTTTGGTATTTTTTTATGTATTATTTATGTTACTTTAAGGGGCTGTGTCTAATACATACTTTTTATCGTAAGTGCTGAGCTTACGATAACAATCACAATGTGAAATTATTTCTGAATTTACCAAAATTATCGTAAGTGTTGGACTTGTATAAAACTACAGTAGCAAAATTATTTTTGATGCTTCCAAAGTAACGTAAGTCCAACTACAAAAAAACTGAAACTATTTTGAAGAAAAATCATTACTTTACTTCAAACACTCATCATAATACGTCCGGATGCCAATTTTCACTTCAATTGGACATTTCTAAACACGTTTATTGAAAAAACTGCCGTACTGTAAAATTTACTAAACGAGACTTACGATGTTATGGCAAAAAGGTATCGATATGGAAAAGAAATAAATTACATATCGTGTCGGTCTTGGCATTTGAATGTAAATGATAATTAAACATAGTCGTAAAATAACAAAAAAATATATTACTCATCTACAATATATAAATAAATATAATATGTTTATTTGTTCTTTTACGACAAAATTAATTTTACGATGCATTAAAATTGGGCAATCGAAAAACGGACGTCCAATAGACTTCCAATTTTTGTCCTTTGCGTTTAAATTGGGTACTCAATCTTATATTAATAGGACTTAAGTTTTTGGGCGAATAACATGTCAGTTGAGCTTTTTTATACGTATTTTCCTACCAGAGTCATTCTGAATCTGAAAGGGCATTTATTGGGAACTTCTTCTGTTGTATCTAACCTATTGGACACTTGTCACACACTCTACTAATACTTTAAATATGAATGCTCGAAGTTAGACTACTTGGAAGAGGGTTGAGTGAATTTCGATAAGTAATATCAAGTAATATATAAATATTTATATCTTATATATCTTATTTATATATTAGTGTGTTTTTATGTCAGGGCGTTTCGTTCACGAAATAATAAAGTGACTAATAGTACATAGTCACAAAATGAGTCAGACGAATGTCATTGTTAGTTATCTACATATTGGCGTAAGATAAATTATAAAATTTTGAGTTTTTATTAATTAGAAGAAACTTTCCTACATTCAGCTTAAATCGAAATATAAATTATAATGAGTTTTGATTAATCTAATCATATATTAATATACATTTTAATTTGATATTAACACAAAATAGAACATAGAAACATTTGTTGTGACAGCAAGATGTATGATTTTGACACTGACAATTGATTCATAATTGATTGCAATCTTGACATTAACTTTGGGTGTCACTTTACGTTTTCGATTTTTATTTATTAAATTTAAAACAAATTGTTGAGCGATTTGTTAAATTCAAGTGATTTCTGATTAATCGCTCAAGATGATTGCCTTAATGAACAGGATATTAGATTGGTTTAAAAGTCTCTTTTGGAAGGAAGAAATGGAATTAACGTTGGTTGGACTGCAGTATTCAGGAAAAACAACCTTTGTTAATGTTATAGCTGTAAGTACTTAAAAAATCTTTTTTATGAATTTTAGTGTTTATTCAAATGTTTTAAAAACAATGCGTCTATTTACACTATAATTTTAATAGTTCTTAAGAGCATATATAGCAACATGTTATAATGTTGCTACGTTTCCTTGTATTTTTATGCTTTTCTTTTTTATGCTTTGATTGTTCACTTAGAACTTGTATGTGCCTTTAAAACTTACGTGTGGTTTCTCATTTCATTTTGTATTTCCAAAGTTCACAATGTACTAATTAATTTGCTAAATCATCTTATTGTCTTAATATCCATATGCTGTTGTGGATAAAATATTTTTGACTCAAAATTTTCCACTACCTATTACTTTTTTATTTCCACTACCTATTACTTTTGTATTTTAATTAGTTTCTTTTATTATCTATCTTTTATCAATATTCATTTATTACAAATGACAACAATTAATATTTGGAACTACTTTAGAAAATATGAATATTCTGTGAGTTGTTTAAATATGACATGTTATTACTAGTTGTCATTCACCTTTTTTAAGAATTTACTGTTCTTTTTATTTATATTAATGTTGTGGCCAATGTTTATTTCAATTCTATAATGATTCCTGATTCTTTTTTTTTATATCAACTACTTATATAGTCAATGAAACGATTTGCACCTTAGGACCCAATCCTCTGAACTTTTCATAGTGAGAAGCAGTTTTATTTCTACAGCAATATAGTAGGACTGAATGTGTCTATTTAGCATAATTATTCAGTCAGCAATTTAAGATTTAAAAGTTGCCTGACAAGATTGGTAAAAGTTTTCCACTATAATTGTTTTACCTTACCAACATAAATTTTGCAAAAGTTACCATAGTTTAAAAGGATTTGAAGAATCTGGCCAGATGCTAAAAAACAAAGTACAGAAAGGAAATATGCATCATTTTTTATCTGTCTTAATATATTTTACCATATTGAGTTCCTGATATATTCTATGAAATTCAAAGTTGTAGCGTATTTTCCATACTCCGTGGTCATTCACCACTTCATAGATTCGCATTAGAAATTTTCTTTTGAAACATCCCAACATTATTTCATTAGTTTTTGTTGGAGTCCAGATCTCTGAACCCTATGTTAGGACTGGGCATATTATTATTTTGTAGAGTTTTACTTTTGAATTTCTCAATATAGTTGAGGATTTAAGAATAGGATATATACAAAAATAGCATCTGCTGGCCATTCAAATTCTGTGGTTTATCTCTGCTGTAGTATTATTTTGAGAGTTACCAAGAACTCCCAAATGTACAAATTTGTTCAATACTTCAGTGACATAATTTTCTATAACAAGTAGCTGTAGGATTTGTGGTATACTCTATTCGCTTAGATAGGGCATATTTTGACAGATTCATTGTAGGAAACCTACAACACAACAATTCCTACTTCTCAGTATTAATAGCTCAAGTATACTACTATTGCAGACTTCTTTCTTTGAAAAAAGAAGAATTATTATAAATAGTGGAAGTGCATATTAAACCCATCAAATTTTGGATAGTATATATTTAAAAAATATATTTTATTCGTTATAATTTAACATAACTATTTATTATAAGGTGCTAATAAATAAATATTGATTGTCAGTAATTTGCAAAGTTCTATTTTATTTACTATTTAGTTTGTTTACTATTAATATTGGCTATTGAGTATGTGTGCTTGGTTGTATAGTAATTTCCAGCAACTTCTAGTCTGTCAAAAAGTAACTAACTTCGCAAAAAAATAATTACTAAATTCACTAGACAGTTCGGACTGGGAATAGCGAACTGAGTATATTGTGCTTAATTGCATGTACTTCATTTGTTGGTGTTTATTATTAAACTCATTTTTCTCACAAAAATATTGATATCATCAGTATAGGCAAGGATTTGCACTGATTTGTCATATATTGAACCAGTGGTTGTGATTTGTGGCACATGTATTACTTTTTCCAGAGCCACGTTGAACATTACATACACAGGTGAGATTATCTCCCTGGTGCAGCCCATTATTTGTTTTAAAAGGTTCAGACAGTTCCCCCTGGATTCATACTCTACTACCCTGGAGTTAGTTTTGTTCAATTTGCCAACTGATTTGGTACTCCTAGTTCATTGAACATAGTTGGGTTCAAAATGCAACCTTGTCTGACTCCTCGTTGTATAGATATTTTGTCAGTGTAATGGGCTCCAATTTTTATGATAGCAGTTTGATTCCAGTACAGATTTTTAAACAGATTCCAGTATAGATCTCACTGACCATTATAGATAGAAGACGTGGAAATTTGTCCAAAGGTACTTCATTTTTATAGGACAATGCATCTGCACACAAATTGCATTCTGCCATGCAAACAATTCGTGATTTAGGCTTCAAATTACTTGAATACCTCCCTTATTCTCAAGGTCTGGTTCTGTTCAACTATAACGTAGTTCTTCCAAAGAAGAGATGATAGAAGTCTGGAGGCCTAGTTTGTAAAGCAAGATATATTTTTTAAAGATCTAGTGGCCTTGCATCCCTGTTCATTAACTCCCATACATATGGCAACTTATTGTAACTATCTGAATTAATATTACATAAAAGCTATCCAAAATTTACCAGATCTATGCTCTTTCAGATTTTTATTTTTTAATTATTAATAATGATAATTCTTAAAATAAAACATTTAACTTTATAAAGCAAATTTTTTTATAGTCTGGTCAGTTCAGTGAAGATATGATTCCAACAGTTGGCTTCAACATGAGGAAAATCACCAAGGGCAATGTAACCATTAAAGTGTGGGACATTGGAGGCCAGCCTAGGTTTAGATCAATGTGGGAACGTTATTGTAGAGGAGTTAATGCCATTGTGTAAGTTTATTTATATGCTTGTTTTTATATAAATGTATGATTGATTATATTTGAAACAATAACAGTTATTTATATACTAACATATAAAATACATATACATATATTAATAATATTTATCTTTGTTAGATTATTATATTTATTTTTCAAAATATAAAAAATTGTTTTATAACATATAAGTTGGGGAGCATTTGATTTTGTATTTATCATGTTGGACCTAATTTGGAAGTTATCAGCTAGCCCGACTATCAACCTAGCCCGACATCATTCCGACATCTACGCTCGCGTCTCTTCAACATCGTGTTACAAACTACACTTTTCGTACGATTTTCTGCAGACTTTTATCGTTTTGTTCATCGCCTTCTTTAATAGTTCATTCTCCATAGCTCCGTGAAATTTGACTAGTTGTACCGAAACTAGAGTAGTAGAGTTCCAAGGAAATAGCGAGAGTCAGTCTTGCTAGTCTTAAAGCTTTCTCTACTTCACTGTCTCTCAACCCATTGACAAAGGTATCTACAGCAATTTCTTCCAAAATGTTGTCTGGTGCCGATAAGCCAACCGCTTCATACGAGAAACATATGCTTCAAATTCAAATTCTTGCAAATTCTCACTTGCTCATTGAATTCTAATTCTCATTTGTGCTTTGTAGACTTATTGTAGATGGGTATCTTCATACCGTTTTTTGGTCTCGTGAACAAGGTCTGATAACATTTTCTTTACCCTTAGGAATGGATTTTAGGATATCTACTGCATCACCTCTTAAAGCGGCAGTGAAGGAAACAGCCTTTTTTTGTTTGGTCCAATGATTGGCTGTCACAATAGCTTTAAATTGTGTAAGCTATATGGACCAAAGAGACTTCCCATCAAATGTTGGCAATTTGAATCTCATATGATGTATAGTAGAAACTTCTTCAAATTTTTTATTGTTCTGTCTATATACTTCTTTAATTGTTTTTGAAGTAAGTTTTTTATTTTCTAGTCGTTTCGTAATTGTTTGTAATAAGTTTATAAATATGGCAAAGTAGACTTATGGGTCTGTAGTTTCTGAGGCTTGTCATCACTCACTGATATTAAGAGCATGCCATAATCTTTTTCCTGCCACTTTCAAGGCATCCGCAAGTATTTTATCTCCTTTGGGGGATTTATAGTTTTTCATTTATTGCACTGGATACATTGCTTTTGTTTGTTGAGTTTGCTGTAAAGACTTACTAGTGTTCATAATTAGATCTCGATTTTCAACGATTTGCCCCTGTTTATTTTTTAGTTTGTGGATGTTTTTTGTTACAATAGACACATTCTGTAGTACAGTACTTTCAAACTTTTGTTTTCTTTTATTACTCTCAAATAATTACTTTAGCAACTTACAATATGGATTCAGAAGTGCTCGTTCTACTACGAACGCGTTATTTAATGTGAGTGAGGTGATTGAGGGGCTTGAACGCGGCAATGGCATAGCAATTTCTCGTTACGACTTGTCGAAGGCTTTTGACTGCGTTTCACACGATATTGTGCTTATAACTTCTTATCTATGTGGCAGAAACCAGGCGGTAGTGTAAAGGCCATCTCTCCGATTTTCTATCCGTAAAACATGGAGTCCCACAAGGTTCGGTCTTAGGACCTCTTCTGTTTATTATTTATGTCAATGATTTGCCTAAATTCATATCTCCGTACAAATCCGTACAATGTGTAGATGTAGTTATGAGACTGTTAAAAACTATTGGGAATAACCATAGATAATTGACTGAACTGGTCGGCTCATACCTCACAACTAAAGAAAAATCTGTCAAGCTTATTATTTGTTATTCGCCAACTAGCACGGGTTGTCAACTTTGAACCATTAAAAATTACATCGTTTTCTTTATTCCACTCTTACCTAAACTGTGGATCAATCATATGGGGCAATTCAACAAATGCACTTTAAATGTTTAGAATCCAAAAAAAATTTGTCAGGATTATAGCAGGGGTTAGTTATCTATACTAGACCACTTACGACCTTTCTTTATCAAATTAAAAATTATGCTGCTACCTACTCTGTTGATATTTCAAGTTCTGACTAAATTCACAGAAAACGGGCCCATTTTATAAAGCGTTCACGTTCACAATACGCGAAGCTGTCACTACGTATGAATAGAGACTGGATTATATGCTCTAAAAAATGGTTAAAATATGCATGCAACATGCACTTAAAAAGTAACCAAATATGCCTTTATTATATGCAATATGCATTTATATATGCACTTTAAAAAATATATATTTTTTAATTTTTAGGGATTTGAGATTTGGTGAGAAATAAAATTATAGTATAAATTAGAGAGTGTTTATTTATTATTACATTTATTAAAAAAATATAAATGAAAATCCACAAGAAAATGTCCTCGTTCTTGCTGTTACAGTATATAATCATAACATGTTGAATATTTTCAAGAGTAATGTTATGCTTTCTATTAGTTAATATGTTTTATATGAGTAAAACGATATTTCAACATCACAGGATGTAATTTTCGCAAATCTAAAATTTGACACCAGCGAGGGATCCATATTAATAACTTTGTTAAAGCTTCCATTGATTATGTTATTTATTGATCGCAATAAAGAAAAGCCTTCATTCCGGTTTAAAACTTCACTAAATTTATCTTTATTTTTTCCAATTGTCCCTGAAAGGTTTACTATTCTTTCTTTGACAGAATCAACAATGCAAATACTATCATTTAAAGATAATTTTTGACTCTCCAGTTTTGTAATAAAGTTTACAATTATGTCAAAATTTGCTTTTATATGGGACAGTTCATTCTGAACAGAATTCTCATTAAAAATATTTTGACATTTCTAAACAATCCGGACCTTTTGAGGACCTCAAACATTTTCTTTAACGGGACACTATCATATGCTTTCTCAAGGTCTATAAATACCAAATGGGTCTCTCTACTTCTTTCGACACGCTTTTCAATTATTTGTCGTAGGATAAATATATTATCAAGGCAGGATCTCCCGGTACGAAAGCCGCTTTGTTCTTCAATATCTTGTATCTGTCTTTCAACCCTCTTCTTTAATATTCTGCCGTACAACCGGCCCACAGAGCTCGTCACACTAATACCTCTACAATTGGAACAGTCTCTTTTATTCCCTCTCTTATATATGGAGCTTATATAAGATTTATTCCAATCTTTAGGAATTTCCTGGTCTCCACACATACATTTATTGAAAAGGTCTACTATTAATTCTAAAAGTGCAGTCGGCCCATATTTAACCAGCTCATACTCGCAATAGTGCTTTTGAAAATACTTTCTTTACATTGTTGATTAAAGTGTTTACATTTGGAAACTTGAGTCTAACTTTCTCTGCCACCCTATTTAAACCATGCGCTAAGCATGTACAATGAATCAAATTCGGAAAAAAATCTTAAGAATAGTAACAGCTTTAACTATGTAGAAAGCGGCGTCGCTAACTAGTAGCAACATTTTTTTAGAAGGTACTTGATTCGGTAAAAAGAAATTTGTCAAAGATTTATTAACAAATCGAGCAATTATTGCATAGTTGATTTTTTCTAAACATTTTACCTGATTAAATACAACTTGTTGGAGTCATCAGCTGAACTGTTTAAAACTCCAATAATTAAATTCGCGATTTGCCGCCCCTTGGCGTCAGTAGTCTCGTCGACAGATATCCACAGATATTCATCTCTTACCCGGCTTTTAATACCTTCAATAACGTCTTTGTAAGATGCCCTCACATATTTCCTACGAAGAGTTGAAGAACTTGCTACCTGTACTGACTTATTTTCAACTGTATATGTTTTCAAAAAATTTTGACACACCGTGCTATCCAATTTATCCAGTGGGATATTGCAACTTACAAAAAAAATTGCATAGATCTTTTGCAAACATTTCTTGCCCCGTCGATGTGTGACGATTTTGAATAATGTTGTTCTGCAGAACCTTCTGGTGTGGTTTCTTGAAGTCCTTAGATAGTTTATATTGGTGGAGAGCCGTTTTCAGGTGATGGAAAATTTGGAATTTTTTCTTCACATGGAATCTGTAACGATTTAGTAAATAGGAGTCTAATGCAATAATATGGACTTCAAATTTTTAAGATAACTTTTTTTCTCGAAACTAAAACTACCGCCAACAGTCAAACTGTTACATGTTTAGTATAAGTATACTGATTTTCTTGCAAAAATGACATTTTAAATTAAATTTTTGAATCGTTAAAATATAAGTGGACTTACCTTTTTATCACAAATAGTACAGAAAACACTTTCATTGTCTATAATCTTCATTTTTCTGTTGCCACCAACCCAACTCATCAACAGACTTGATTTTTGTTTCGCTACTTTCGGCATATTTTCAAAAAAGAAATTATTTTTATTTTATAAGCACAATATTCACAATCACAAGTTGCTTTGCCAGTTGGTAAAGAGAATTTAAAAACGAATTTACTGTATAATACCTACCTGCATGTTGGCCCTATTCTTCCGATAAATAATTCCTAGATGGGTTTTCCCAAACAATAAAACTTGTAGATTTAGTAGATATTTGTAATAAAATTATTTCGTAGTTACCTTACCTAGTACCTGCTATGAATAATTCCAAGAAACTATTATCTAAATATGTATAGAAAACCATTTTATTTATGTGATATTTTCAAATATGTGGCATATACATGCACATGCATTTTACATATAATCCATTCTCTACTTATGAACAAATCGTTGTAGATTACTTTTTTCAAATAAAAAGTGCCTTAACTATAACTAATATAATATTTTACCAAAAAGTATTAAACAGGTAAGCTATAATAGCTTCGAAAAAGTTATAAAAAATATCTTCTGAAACATTACTTTTACTGCTCAGAAGAATATAGGTTCTGAGGTTCTGCAGACTCATTGCAGAACCTCCACTGAACTGCTTACCGTGACTTTGCCATAAAACTTTTTCTGTTTAATATGTGTTCTTGTTAGTGATATATTTAATATATATCACTAATTAGTTAAATAAATAAACTTAAAACTCTCTAATTATTTTCATCGTGTTGTATCGTCTCAGATCCTTTCAAATATTATTTTTCATTTTTGTGTTCAAGATTTTTAATTTTTATGATACCTATTTCCTCTAAGTATTCTTACCTGTAGAAGATGTGGTTTATTTTTTTTATTTTCAGCGCGAGGACAGCATTTCTTTTCAGCTTCTTTTAATGTTTGAATACTATTATTGTTCATTTCAGTAATGCTGATATCCTCTGAGTAATGTGTAGCTAAACTAGTGATAATGTTTTCTTTGCAGGATATTTTATTTTCTGGGAAAATCCATCTTCCGCCCTTCTTTTTTGTTATTTGTATTTTAATGTTAAAGAACGCACCCTATAGATATTTCCTCTTCAAATAAATGAGCACTCTATAAATTGTTTTAATTCATTTATTTTATAAGGATTTGTGTTATACTTGTTTGGTATCATTTGTTCGTTTTTTATTCACTTAATAATTTAAGTTCATCTGATCCCTAAATAGCACTATTCCTAATAATAATGCACATTTAAAAACTTGGTATTTGTGGGTAGATAATAATACGACAACTATAGGAATTAATACAATTCGGATATTCAATCAACGTTTCAATACATGACATTGATATTCACAGTAATAGTATATTACTTTATGAGGCGGAGAAGCATGACTTTTCTTGACGCGCTCGATATTATGCGCTGAACGAAGTGAGGCGCGTAATAGAGGGCAAGTCAAGAAAAGTCGCTTCTTCTGCCGAATAAAGTATACTATTTTTTTCTTCAAACGTAGCAATTTTCAACCATAAATAGTACAATTCATACGCTATTTTTACTCGAAATTAACTGTGACAACTATCAAAGTCGTCTAGATGTTAGAAATTAAAATAATTAAGTCGTCGGTGGGATTTGCGTCTCCCTGGTTACAGTTTTTTGACAGTTGTTTGCAATTATTAAAGACAGCTTATTGTTGTTGCAACCGCAAGCGCAAATTTAGTGCGAAAATGGAAAACCTAAACGAAATTGAGTCCGCTGGTAATGATGCAGTAGCACGTTTGGGGCCCTCCAAGTCTTGCACGGTTTCAATTTTGAAAATGCCTCATTAACTAATTGTACTTTTAATATTACTATAAATAAAAATGATGTTTAATTGTTGTTAATGACATTTGTATTGTTGCTTTGTGATATGTTTCATATTGTTGCCATGACAACATTTTTCCCTCCGCCGTAAAAAAATGGGAAAAAAACTGTTGCCGGCGGAGACATCAATATTTGACAGGATCAAGTTAGATAAGTAATGTCATCATTATTTGACGTTTGAAGAAAAAAAATATTAAGTGTCTACGGTCTACGTATACAAGTATGCTAAAGGCGAAAATACACCATTCAATTCGGTTGAACAATGTGGATGATTCAACCAAAATTTGAAACCATGTATTTTGCAATTCAATAAGAGCGTTCAACAAAATTGAACGTTGAAATGAGTCGAGATAATTTCTACTTTCGTTCAACTTCGTTGTACAACTGGGATGATTCATCCACATTGACTCGTCTATACAAGTTTTGTCGATTGTGTTCGATTTCAACCGTTTATTTCATCGAGTTAGAATCTTTTCATTTTGACTTGTGATATAATAAGTTCCGTACGTACGTTTCGAATCATCTACATTGTTCAACCGAATTGAATGAAGAATAAATTGAAGCGTGTATATGTATGCTTTTCAATTTGATTGAACAATGTAATTGAATCATCCACATTGTTCAACCGAATTGAATGGTGTATTTCCGCCTTTAGTTTCTATGAATTGTCGAGACATTTAGTAACAGTGAAATGTGTATAAATTATGTAATATATTTTTTCTACTCTCTTACTAGTAAATTGTATATTACCTACTATTTGGATGCTAAGTAAATGTATCATAACAGATACTGACACGTAACGACTAGCACGTAATAAAAAAATTACGCTTCAGTTTTATAAAAATGTGTAATATCACATAAGCCTCGTAAGTCAGTTGGTCGAGTTACCATGGAAACGAATTAACAGATGTTATTTTGACAGATTAAAATTAATCTGTCAGTTTAAATAGAGTGGTAATTTTATTTTTATTCTTATAAACGAAAATAATCGTAGAAAAAGTATAGTACACAACTTGAGTTGTAAGCTTATTACATGCTTGTAAAATTACTGCGCTCGCCGCTACGCGGCCCGCGCGCAACTTTTTTACTCACATGTAATGAGCTTTTTACAACTCTCGTTATGTAATATACTATTAGATTATCTTTTTTCAAAGCTAACTCTATAATTCATTTTATATGTGAAGTTTATTATTCTTACAATGTTTGCATATATTTCCTTTAATTAAACTTTTACAAGTCATTGAACTGATTGATTTTAATTCGTTAGTATGTTTGTTCAAATGTATTTAAAATTATTTACTTTATGTTGATATAAAGTAATAATAGATATAAAGAAATAATGTTTTTCTTTATAATATAAACATTGTTTATATATCACAATATTATCAACTAACACATATTTATTTTATTGTTTCTAAGGACAAAAGATATGGCTATAAAATATAGGTTTTAAAATTTTAATTAGTGTATTGCGCTGCTTCTTCTTATACCACTCGTATTGGAGATTGGAAATCATGAAGGTTATATTGAGATATTTTACTACTGTTAATGACGTTTTTCTATGACCAAATCTTTTTTTTTTCGATTTTGCTTTACACTATGTTATGCAGTAGTGTGCATTCCATTTCTATATCACACTATCAGCCCAACTTACATGTATTATACGACAACAACGGTAGTACTTTTTATAACTTTTAATATTTTTGTTGTTCTGTTTGACAGTCCAGTCAGTGCCGGATCTAGACATTTGCCTTAGTAGGAGGGCAACTTCTAATGAAACGCCCACCAAGATACATAAAAAGGCATTAGTAATAACTTATATGCATTAAGCACCCTTAATTCCTAACTGCCGGGTTTATTTTTTTTTTTCGGTAATTTTGGCCTTCGGGGGAAATTTCTCCATTCCCCCGTGTATCCGCCACTGAGTCTAGGGCTTCACTCCATAAAATATAGTACTAAATATATCATATTTCAACATTGATTTTTTAATTTTAGCTGGCTCTAGCTGGCTGTATCTCATGTATCACAAAAAAATTATTTAAAAATTTGCGTCGCCATGTTATCTACTCCTGTTATAACTTAAACATCGTAGTTTATAAATTTAAAAAATGTAACCCGAAAGTTAATTTAACAACATTTAAATGGTTTTTATCGATATATTTGGTGGCTTCAAACATTTATCCCATAAGTATTAACCACACTTTTTGTCAATGTCACCTTGGTCAACATTTTAACTTTATTAAAATATTTATCCTAACTCAAGTATTTACACATTCTTATAGGTACATGGTAGATGCGGCAGATCCTGATAAAATTGAGGCTTCTAGAAATGAATTGCACAATTTATTGGACAAACCTCAATTAGCTGGTATTCCTGTGTTAGTCTTGGGCAATAAAAGAGATAAGCCTCAAGCTCTAGACGAAAATGGCCTTATTGAAAGAATGTAAGTATATACTTAGTTAATTTCCATATTATTTTCTTTTCTTCCATATTTCTTAATGGAAAATCAATTTTTCTTATGTTACATCATTCCTTGATATTGTTGATTACTGAAATCAAAACAGTATTCTGAAATAATCTAATGAATATTCACTACCCTTTTTGTTGAAGAATCGTGTTGTTTGGAAATATATACATTTTTTATGTATGTATTTTGTATGTATGTATAAACTGTTTTTATATTTAATAATTATTCAAAATTGTTTTATTTCTGAACAATAATTTAAACCAAGAAAAAAACTTTGATCGTGGTGTAAACAATGTACAACAAACAGCAGTTTATAATCAGATTTTTCACTGCATGAAGTCTGGTTTTCATGTTAAACATGTAAAAATATCACTTTTTGCTAATTTCGGTTGTACTGTTTGTAATTTAACTTGTTCCTCTAAAATGATTATTCGTTTTAAATATTATTCATATGTAAAATTGGCCAAAAACTTAGTTTTTTGTACATATCAGATATAGCATTTCAAATGGTCATTTGGTTGAATTACTAGCTGTGTCCGGTGCATATTTTGCTTTGGGCTTCTTAATAGTTCATAACTTTTGGCCTTTGCTGCAGTTTTACAAGGGACGGGCTTAGATTTAACACCGCTGATACTCCCTAAAAATAAAAACTTTCATATAACCTCACTTTTTACTCAAAATGAAGTACGACTGTTTAAAAATGTAAAATTAAATATTACTCACAATATATTATATCAATATTTAAAAAGAAATAGTTCGAAATAACTTACATATGTAATTGCTTTAAAAGGAAGTAATATAGATTGATGGTCACGTTCTGAATTAAAATAGGCAATTAAAGAAATGACCATTTTCTGGACAAAATTTCCTAAATCTTTAAGCATTTTTGAAATAAAGATTTATTAATTCTCAAAAGGGCTTTTTTAGTTTAATTTGTAGCACAAATTGAAACGCGAAGTAAATAACCAACACGTCTTCACCTTCAATTCACAAACACAAAAACATAAGGCCGCGAGAAATGAACTGGCAATACTGCAATATTTTACCAACTGATAATTCGCTAAGTCACTAGATTGTATCAGAATCTATGCATAGGAAGTTTGCTGTATGGGTGGACGTTAAAAGTTACTATGGTTTGTTTTTTAACCAGGAGGAGTAAACTAAAAAGACAGATTCACATCCAAGAAAGTTACTAGAAAAGTCACCAAATACATTTCCTTTTTTGGTTGATTATCTCGGCCTTGCAGCAATCCAGTAATCCGTGTCGAACAACCTCACACCTCGATTCTAACCTAATTTTTGTTTGTTTATGTTTTTATTAATAATCTTTTCCAATTCACTTCCAATATATATTTTTTTGTTTTTCTAATAATTACATAAAAAATTTCGGATTGTTATGAAGAAGTTGAAGAATCAAATTTACTGAAGAATGTTGAAGAGTCAAAAAGACTATTTAATTAAACAAAGATTATTTAAATAATTATACGGTTTTCAAATGAGACAATTTGCATTTAGAGCGTTAAAAGGTTTACAACATAGGAAAAAATAAGCAGTTATATTTTGTTTTATTTATTTTTAACAACATTAAAGAATCTTTGGGATTAATTTGTATTAATTGATTAATGGATAATAATACCTATACTTTTTTGGGTTGCACGTTTCATTTACTATATAATTGTGGCTAACCCATATTTACTTAAATTTGATTTGCTTTAAGAATTTATATAATAATGAACGACACATATTTGGAAGATCTGGGCGGTTGTTAATTTCATTTAAAATTTTATTTAAAGTGGGCATTTCATTATTGAAAAAGAAGCTGTGTAATATCTGTCGTACAGATGTTTTAACTATTTCATCGTATGCTGCAAGGCTATAAGGTCGACCGCCAATATTTTGAGGACATCTTAGTGTTCCACTTGTTCCAGTCTGCTTATATTCCTTTATTGTTCTGTAATTTTTTCGCAACACCTAAAATTAGCACATTACTTAAGTAAGTCTTGATTTTAACAATAAGTATTCTCCAAAACTAACATGTTGCCTGTTTTATTTTTGCTGCCATAGCTGTTTTATTTAATTAATTTTCATTCCAGGATTATCAATTTTTATTTGTTTGTACATGTTTATAATGCATTGTTTTTCATTTGATGATAAATGACCCAAAGCTGCTCGTTTTTTAGGTGGAGAAGGATAATTACCACTAGTACTTAGCATTGAATCCATATTGTTATCTCAATAACACTAATACGTCGCTAAATAGTTCTGAGAAGAACTGTTTTTATATAATAAAAACGAAACATCTAAAAATAAACGAAATAACGGAGAAAATACAAATAGTCGTCGATATAAATTTTGAATTTTAAAATGTCATAAATGTCATGAGTGTCAAAATGTCATAATTTAGTGGAGTAAACTTACCTACGGTTGGACCAATTACAACAAGCGCAGTAAATTTGAATTACTCCTCCTGATTAAAAAACAACAATAGAATGACATAATTTTAATCTTATCGTAAAAGAACTTCAAAAACGACTCAAAGAATATCTATTTGATAAATTTTTGTACTCTCTACACCTACAGAAATTTTTCTACGAGGCGACTGGTTAGTTACGGATGTGATGATGTACTTATGTTTATCCATACTTGTATGGTTTAGAAAGTCAATAAATTATATTATTATACAAGTATACAATAAATCGAATGTTTTGTACCTGAGTGTATATTCAAAAATAAAATTGATTTTTCTTTTCGAAATAAAATAAATTTGGCTTTTTTGGTGTTTAGTCATTCGCATGATAGTGTGATATTTTAAAAAACGAAGCATGTGACGAATAAAACTAGGGATTATTATAATTAATGTAATTTGGCATGAATAATATTCCATTTTAATGAAAGAATTAGTAGTTATCAACAATAACCAATTTAAATGTTAAAAACTTTTTAAACTGCTTATACTATTATTACATAGACTACTAGATATATAATCTTAGTTTAAGCAGTTTAAAAGTCGTTAAAAATTCAATATCTTTTAATGTAAGTATGTTTTAACCTATTTTTAGTATTAAGCCATTATTCTTTGGTTTTTTATGTATCTTCTATTATGTATATGATTATGCCATTTAAAAAACGTCATTTTATTGTTTTTACAACTTTTTTATAACAACTCGAGAACAGCTGGATCTATTTGGCTAATTTTGATTTTGAAATATGTGTAGAAGTCCAAGAAAGGTTTAAAAGGTGAGAAAATATGATGATATTGTACAGAAAATAGTAGAAGCAACAATTTGATTTTTCCATACGAACAATTATACTATGTGGTCCATATGTATGGAATAAATTCATTTTTAGTGAAAAAATGTTTGTGTTATCATGTACTATGTGAAAATAACCTGCAACAGGTCGATTTTTATTCTTAAATTGACAATTTACAGTATGAAAATATTATCCCCCTCCAGCACTCCCTTTGAATTATAAGCACCCCCTCGAAATTTTTAAATAACAAACGGGGTCGTGTGGCACCTTGTTAGAAAGGAATGTTAGTCCTCTGTTCAGCAGTATAACGTTTTTTGGGTTTGTGCAATCATAACTGAGAAAATTGATTTTTACAATTAAATTAAATGTTAAACTTGACCACTATTATTCACTTCTTGATAATAGCCGAGGCGTTTTGAAATTCTCGTGCAACATTTTGTAGGACCTCAGGGGTTATTTTGTTAATTTCTTTCATTATCCTAACTTTTAAATCAGCAATATTGCCTGGTCTATTAAAATATACTTTCTGAAATAATCAGGTATTTTCGTACCTGTTCTGCTAAACATTAAGAAAAAACTTTGAAGATAATAAACTATTAGTCAAAAAGCCAAATAAATAATTGATATGAATCTAGTAGGATGCTGTCATTTAGGTATTTAAAATTACTAAAAGAGGTCAGTATAATATTTGTGTGCGTATTAAATTTAATTATCGTTAATTTGTCTGAGACTCAAAGAATAGAAATTTTAATTATGATTGGTTGTGGAATGTTTAATAATAAATACCCTGGTCAACAAGTTTCGCAGTCTACAGTTATCAAAATTGAAAAGAAGTTTCGTTATACTAGACATGTAAAAAATATTTAAAAACCAGGCAGAAATGTTAAATTTACTGATGAAAAAAGGCAAAAAGCAAAAAAGACAACTCGAGAACTTGCCGCTGTGAATGATGTATTTTGAGAGTTTTGCATAATGAAAAATACCGTCCTTACAAAGTTCAGTTGGTTCAGGAGTTAAATGAAGATGATCCTGATAGAAGGCAAGAATTCTGTGAAATGATGGACAGAATGAACGCAGATTTGCAGTTCATAAACAAAATAGTTTTTTCTGATGAAGGAACGTTTCATTTAAACGGAACGGTTAACAAATAGAACTGTAGATATTGGAGCAGCGAAAATCCTCACTGGGTGTGTGAGACTCACATGCAATATCCTAAAAAAGTTAACGTTTGGGCTGGTATCTGGTATCATTAACAATAAAATTATTGGTCCTTATTTTTTTGAGGGCACCGTTGATGGTGCCTATATTACGAAGATTTTTTCCTGATGTTAATCATCCAAATGAGAAAAATCGATGTATTTACTACCAACAAGACGAAGCTCCACCTCCGTCTTGTTGGTATATCAATTTGCAAGTATAGTTAGAAATTATTTAAACGAGGTTTTTCCCAATAGATGGATTGGAAGACATGGAACGATCGAATGGCCGGCTACGTTCCCCAATTTGACTCCTTTCGATTACTTCTTATGGGGTTATTTAAAATCTGAAGTATATTTAATAGACCAAACAGTATTGCTGATTTAAAAGGTAGGATAACCGAAGAAATTAACAAAATAACCCCTGAGGTCCTACAAAATGTTGTACGAGAATTCCAAAATCGCCTTGGTTACTGTCCAAAAGTGAATGGTGGTCGTTTTGAACATTTAATTTAATTGTAAAGTACATTGAAAAATACATTCTAAATATTACGTGACATTATTGTCTTCATTCGACCTAAAGTGTTGTAATAGTGACATTATCAAAATTTTACATCTTAAAAATCAATTTTCTCATTTATGATTGCACCAAATTAAAAAAACTTTATATTGTTGAACAGAGAACTAAAATCCCTTTCTAAGAAGGTGCCATACGACTCTCTTTGTTATATAAAATTTTCGAGGGGGTGCTTATAATTGAAAGGGAGTGCTGAAAGGGTATATTTTTATACTGTAAATTGTCAATTTAAGAATAAAAATCAACCTGTTTCCGTTTTTTTTCACGTAGTACATAATAACGCTAAAGGTCGATTCAGACACATCAGTCCCGTCATAGTCTCGGCGCCGAACGGTCCTGTTTGGTCACAGAACTATCACTATCTGACAGCTGGAAACTGTTGTCAACTGATGAGTGTGTATGACGGTTGTTCGTTCGGTGCAATCACTGTGACGAGACGTGACTGATGTGCCTGAATCGACCTTTAAAATGAATTTATTCCATACATATGGGCCGCATGGAAAATACTCCTTTAAATTGACGTCTCTAAAACCGTGCCTATCTTCACGTCTATTTCCTTTTTGTGTTGCACGTGGAGGACCGGGATTAAATTCCTCGCCGATGAAAAACTTTGTTTTTTTAATTCAAAAACATTTTTATCTTTTATTGTTTTAAATTTTATAAATTTAACAATCACTCAAATTAAAATGAAGTAAGTAACTAGGGCATATCTTCTAGAACTAATTCTTAATATTAAACAAGAAAGTCGTGCATATGTTGCCTGTGTGAGTCCACTTCAAATATGTAAAAATAAATAAGAATAAGACTTACAATCAATTTATTCTACCACCAACGACCGGTTTCGCATATTATACTGTATATCGTGCTGACAACCGCACTGACCTCTGTTGCGACGTTGCCATCTAATCCAAAAGATCCTGGTGTTTAATAATCAATATTATTGTATTAGGGCAGAAAAAATCATTACACGAATTCCTTGGTTATTGGGGAAGATTTTGCCTATCTCCATTTAGATAAAATGTATTACTACTCACTGAAACTGCAGCTAAACTTAATGCCCAATTGAAACGATACTCGACAAATGTAAAGGCCAAACTACTTTTAAAAGCCTAAAAAGCTTTAATTTTTTCCTTTTTTTTCTTTCTTATTTTTAATTATCATTATTTTACTTTATTTGGAAAATATTTGTTTTAATACTTTTTATTGTTTCAGGAATCTCTCTGCTATACAAGACCGTGAGATCTGTTGTTATTCGATATCTTGTAAAGAAAAAGACAACATTGATATAACTTTGCAATGGTTGATTGCGCACTCAAAATCTGGTATGCGTTAAATTACTAAAACAATTGTAGTATATACAAAAAGTCAACTGTAAGGATACACACTACCTACTACTTATACAAAGTAAACATATTTTTCGTTGAACTTGGTCAGTGGAGGTTGTAATTTTGATAGTATCCAATGTGGCAATTGCAATTTGTGATTCAAGGTGGTTTGTTTCACTTTTTAAATCACAATGAATTAATTAACAATTAGTAATTATGAAAGATTCCATTCTTTCATTTAAATTATTTTTTATTTACCCTACTTTCTATTTTTGTACTTATGGTAATTAGTTTAAGCGCCTATGTTTTATTTGTTGGTCGGGTATTATTCGTCTGCTTCAATAATAATTCGATTAAAATTCAGCTTCTCTGAACCTTAGTTATTAATTGTTAAAAAACATCACATTATTTTACGTATATCTCGAAATAATTCCATAATGTGGAACAAACCACTAATAAATGATCACAATGCCCCAAATAGCTTAAATAAAGTACATATAGATGCAATCGCAATTATGACGATATCGATCAAATTTGCAAAAAAATATTTTTTTTGCAAAGGATAGTGTTTTCGCCTTTAACGGCTGTATGTTATTGATTGAGAATACTAAAAAGCTTAATATATTGATTCATCTATCGCATTTAATGATTCTAAATACAGTTAGTGTATACGTTTGTCTCAGCATGATCGTGGTAATCGTAGTAGCGATTGCATATGTGCTTCTGTGTGCGCAACAGAGTAAGCGTACTTTTGAACAATTTTTGTCTCTTATTTGCAACAAACTACAGTAGTACCTTGTAAATTTAAAGCACAAAACTGGTCTTAGATGAACCTTACAATTTTAGCTCAAGTGAAGTAGGCGTTCACAAATCAATCTCATTTGTTGTTTTCAAATTTGAATGATTCGATAAGTTTGTTGTAAATATACATAAACTAATCTGTCTAAGGATTACACAAGCAGTCACACAAAGAAAATAACTAAACTAACGACAAGAAAACGATTCATCCAACTTTTTTTCTTAATTTGCTATTGAATTTTTTGATAAACCACTAATTCAGTTGACATTTTTTTCTTTGGTAAATCAAAGGTTTAGTAACCTGTCAGTTGTATGGTTTTTTGGTTTAAGTTTTTCAATACAATGTGCAAATTTATACTATTTTTATGGGAGTTACTCCATTTAAATTAAACTAATAACAATAGTATATTAGAACTTAATTCTCGCTATAATCATTGTACCATACATAGTGAACTAAATTACTAAGAAGTAAACTTAGAACGCTGTACAATATGTTACTCTAAGCCACCGTTGCTCAGTCCTAGTAGGTGATGGGTAGGGTAGTTCATAGTGGTGAGAAACATAATATAGATGGACATAAAACAACCAAGAAGAACAGGGATAATAACTCTTCAAAAAATGGGTACCACTGTTTTTAAATATAGAAATCTCAAAAAACAGAAATGGGATATTCATAAAACAAAGAGAAGGATTAAAAAGATGGATATGGATATCAAATTTTAATGTAAAACGACTTACAAATATCATAAAAATAAAAACATGGTAAGATTCACTATATAAAAAAAATATATTTAAAATATCACATATCATAAGGTATATACACAAAAAAGGTCTTAAATTGTAAACGCTTAAAAAACATAAAAACGGTTTTAAACTGACCTAAGTTCTCTTTGCAACGGATTCACTGTGTTGAAAATAAAAAAAAAACATGAAATCGAATGAGAAAATTCAGTTAAATGCGAACACACAATGTTATTTAGTCAATCCATTTCGATTCAAACATGTTTAAATATAGAGACTGCACAAAGAAAGACATCAAATCATCAGAATATTGAAATATGTACTGTTTATCAAAAGATTTTAAATGTTAAATTCTACAACTTAACTAAATTCTGTCCTTTATTTTGTTAAATTAACCTTCTTAACGTGAAAGCAGCATAGCTTGACTTGGCGTTAGACTATAAGAATGTACTCACAATAATTTAGATAATCTGTTTATAAGATAAAGAAACAGATAGTGGGATTTGACATCAGTTGAATATTAAATAAAAGGTGTCTCCAAATTAGGATTGGATGCATTGGTCTGTGTTGAGATAAAACATGGGTTCCATACTAGGATAAGACGGGACGACCGTCCAAACTGAGACATAAAGGGGCTCATAATAAGGTGAGAGACAAAAAGATCCTTACAAACTAGAATGAAAGTGGTTTCCGTCCTAGGATGAACTAGGGCCCTAATTAAATTATTAGATTAGATTCACATCTTGTTTTGAAAATAAAAAATAGAAAGAATTGAGAAGGTGGGCTGTATATGTCACCATAGAGAGGTTAAGGTCTTCACAGGAATATAACTCTATATCAGCTCTCTAGGTGCTCTACAGAGGACTTCAGTTAGTCAATCCGAAGTTTCCTCTGCTTTTTTTATTTTAAATTAGGCAGGATGGTAAAATAAAACGGTTTTGAAGTCGAAAAGGTCCTAGCAAAGAGTCTGAGGACAAGCAGGGAGGCAGAGCCCTGTGAAGGAGTCCCCAGGCGTAGGACACTCGACGTGGAGACTGTAGTAAATCTAGGCTTAACTAAATTATGGCTTGGAAAATGCACCCTGTTTATACACTTTATTTCGTATCGATATCGTTTATTCGTTTTTTTTTGTGAGATATGTAATTCTTTTGTTTGGGTAAGTTTCTTTAAAAATAGTATCGAAAAATTGACAAACAAAATGCTAATAATTTTGCAATAACAGATTCTGGTAGCAAAATATGAACCATTATCGTTTTATTTGTATCGATATGTGCATTTCCAAGTCCATGGGCCAATTACAAATTTTGTAATGAGGTAGAAAGGCGGGGCGATGCGCGTACTAGTGCGTACTAGTCCTCAGACTATGGCACTTGATGACATTTATATATACACTAATAAAAAGGTATCAGGCCAAAATATCTTAACGACATTATTTAAAAGAGATTATTTAGAATATTTAAAAATAAAGCGGATTATAGCGAGTTGTTGAATGATCCTGGGTGGTAAAATATACATATTTTTGTTGTATGGTGTTGGGTGGTAATATAAATTCAGTAAAATAAACGAAAACTGGATAACATGTAACGTATTGTCTTTTCGACATATTACACCCTAACGAGTTTAAACGATTTTTGTGGTATATTTAAATGTATATATCCAATATAACATAAGACGCATGCCATAAAAAATTAATATAACATTCTTATTTCACCTTCGTGATAACAATAATGAAATAAAAAATGTTAGTTAAACAGTTACTGAGAACTGAATTACGTGTAACCAAAATACGTTTAAAACATTGTCTTAGAAGTGAATAAGGTGATATCGAGTTACAGTTTAAAGTTGTTATCTCCTCCATCAGATGTAAAATAGGAACACACACTGGCCCCATTCTTTTATTGTATTTCTAAAATACGGTTTTGTATACTTCCAGAAGTGCGATTTCAAACCGTAACTCTTTTCAATAATAGTTTCTTAAGAAAATAAATATTAAAATTAAGACTTCCTGGCATTCAGCAACCCAAATGTAAACTTTCTTTGGTTATTATGAGATTTTTTAGTGAAATCCTTTTCTGTAGCCTAGCTTTGGCCACTGGTAATATAAAAAGGTAGTATGTGCCGTTTTCAAGCACTTACTCACTTACAATAACTTCTCACAGTTTAGGTTTGCGGGCCCAAAGTCTCTGATGTATCTTGATACTAGAAGACCCACAGATTTTCAAAGCGATTCAAGTCAGGACTTTTTACTGGCCGTGCCGAAGCATTTTTGTTATTGTTGACCCACTCTTACTGTGTTTTATGAAATTAATTTGCAATAAAGATTAATTATTGTAAACATTTGAACATATATCAAAAAAGTTTAATTAAAAAACCCTTTATAAAAGGTATATAATTAACAAACCCTTTGGGGTTAAGTATAATAAATGCAAATATGCAGACGTTAATTATTATGGTCTGGGCCTTAAATTTTGCATTTTAAAACCTTTTCCCGCTGGTATTTGAAAAGTCGTATTTTTTATATAGTTGTTTATAAATCGAAAAATTTCTTTCAACATCAACAGTTGGTTATTGGTGCATGTTTAAACTTCACCCCCTTGATGAATTCTACAACTTTTTCCAAAATAGAAAATCCAAAATGGACAATAGAGTTTTTGTTTAAAACATATTGCAATTTGTTTCCTACAGATATACATACGTTTCCTTTAAATCATACATACTAAAAGATTCCTTAACTTGATTAATCAAATCGACTGGCGAATCAAATCGATTTCGATCGAACCATTGGCTTAGAAAAAAATTAGAGAAAATTTTGGATGATTCGTTTTTTATGAGTTTAAAGATTCACACAGTTAATTATTATAGTTTTAGACATTGTATGAACTGAAAGGGATAACTTAAGACTTAAACCAGACTGTGCCGATTGTGGAATACAAAATATGTTGACTTTGATCAAGTTTTGGTTTTTAGCTTGAACATATTGATTTGGACCAGTTTTCAACTTGTACTGAAATATTTTAGATCGTAAAAGGGTATTTTAACTAAAAGCCAAAACTTACGGGGTCCGTAAACTCAATTCATTATATAAGTTCTATCACGTGCGTAAAACAAAAGTCAAAAAGATTAGAAAGCTGTAGGAAATATATTAATATCGACAATTTCGAAAAAAAAATTATTTATTGCTAGTTTTACTCCAAACTTTATTTACTGTATAGAAAATTCTACAACACGTGTAGTCGAGGAGCATTACAAATGACATGGTACGAGATCTGAAGGTGATAGCTCCTACATCCTTCGAGTAAAGTGTATTCGATTTAACAATGCACTCCCATTGCTACTTAAAGCAGTTCTGAAATTCAGATTTTGTCATGACCTTCAGTGCCATCGTTGTAGTCATTGGAATCATCTCTATCTCGTGGATATGTTGTTCTTTAAAATTTGTTTATTTAATTTAATAGCAC